AAGAGGTATTTATCTTAAGGAAATGGCTCATGAAGTTGTAGAGTCTGGAAAGTCCCAAATCTGTGGGTCAGAGATCACACTGGAGGCTTCTCCTGACTCATATACCTACAGGAGCTGATGAACCTCAGATCAGTTGGGAATATACCAGGCTGCTGGCTTCAAAGGCTGATGAATCCAAGATCATCAGGTGAGCTGACAGGCTGTGGGCTCACAGGTTATGAAGGCAATAATCCCAAAATTGGCAGGCAATATAGCAGTCCACTGGTACAAGTCCAGGAACTGGAAATGATGATGAGCCAGATGCATGATTCAGATCCAGCAGAAAGCCAGAGATGTTTGTCAGATGTCCATATATATTGGAAGCCAGGCACACTCCTAAGGAAACTCACTTTCATCTAACCGATTGGCTGCTCATAGCATATCTAATCATGAAGGTCATTGCATTATATCAGTTCTCATCATAGGGGATGACTTCATCATAACTATTAAACCACTGAGAATCATGACCCAGCCAAGTTGATGCACAACCTTAACTATCACATTACATTCGATGACTGGGGAAGGGTGTAACTTTTAAAATATAGATATGGTTTTAATACATAGAAAAGGAAGTGACTATACTAGATGGAATTGTAGAATGAGAGAGATGTAAAGTAACAAAAGGAAATATGAAGTAAGTTTGGAAATATACCCTCTATATCTTCAGAGAATATGGGCTACTTAATAAACTAGTGGAAGGTAAAGTTGAAAAGTTAGATTAGTTTATATCAAGGAGCTTAAATTGTGACTAAGAAGTTTGCAATAAATGTGTAGATAAATGCACCACTGGATCAACAACAGACAATGGCCAGCACTCACCAGCCTGACTTCAACTAGTTTGCACAATCAGTGATCAGGGACTCTCGGCGACATTCACACCTTCCATTTAGTGCTGCCAAATGATCAACCAGAATAACATGCCTAAACTCTTGCCCAGATATATCAAAACAAAACAAAAAAACAGGGTTAGGCAAAGCAATATACACTCAAAAAATTAATACAGTAAAACTGCAATACACAAAATTCTGTAATTACATCACAATTTTACATCAATCTTAAACAGAACATAAAAACGTTTGATAATGGAGAAAAGAGCCATTAAAGGATCTCAAAAGTTTTAGGTCAGGCTAAAATCACACAAATGATAAACTCAATCTGCAGCTCCCAGACAGGTCTGACAACCATTTCAGAGCAGGAGACTGGAGAGGGGTCTGTTTCATCATGGTAGGTGGGTTTTAGAACAAAATTCAATACATGCAAGATTCCATGAAAGAATATTTATTGCTCTTTTATAAACTGTATGCTTTTCTGCTTGGAATTTTCTCACTAGTATTTATGAGTAATATTTGAGAGTCAAGGCCTGAATGAAGTCTCGCTCAGTCTCTCTCAGTAGCACATCTCTCTCTCAGCAGTGCACGTCTCTCACATCTCTCTCTCAGCAGCACTTTTCTTTCAGCAGTGTATCTTTCTCAGCCAGCAGTCAGAAGGACTTCCCTTTTGCTTCTAAAAGGGCTCCTTTTCAATCCTGGCAGAGTGGCCAAAACCAACCAATCCCAACACCAGAATTCCAGAATTCTATACACCTGAGAGAGCGCGAACTTCCCAGAAAATTGTTTTGTGCTGCTCCAACAAAAATACACCAGGTGGATAACTTTAGCAATCAGCTGCTCCATTGCTATTTTTTTTTTTAGTCACTTGCTTATGGTAAAGTGGGAGTCACAAAGACTCTGACTAGAAAAGCCATACCATGTAATTTACTACAGTGCACCAATTGTCTGAGAAGTGGATGGCCCCTTCCTTCTTTTGAATCTGTCTTAGTCTGAAAGCTCCGCTGAAACCTGTCCACTATGGGTGGCCCTACTGGTATTTGAAATACCAGTGGCATCACCTACAGTCCCACAACAACACATAAGCCGCCACAGTATGACAAAATGACAGATGAGTGGTGGAAGGCTATATATGGTGATGAGAAATTCAACAAATATTTGCTGATTTAGTACATGTGCAAGAGACCTAGGTTCATTTCACTGCCAGTGCTCTTCATGCACAGCCACCAGCTTTCATGTTGCTATGATGCTGAAGACTTTTTAAGAGAGCTTCCAGACTAAGGAGGACTAGGAAGAAAGGCTTGGATATACACATCTGAAAACCACCTAATAAAACCTCTACATATAGATCTCAAATTCTGATCCACAAATTATCATAGGGATGGTACAGGACCAGGTAGCATTTTGTTCTGTTGTGCGTGGGGTCGCCATGAGTCAGGCAGCTAACAGCATCACCACTGGAAACACAAAATAAATGAGAATGAGTAGTTGTCTTCATGTTGTTTATGGTTGATACAGAGGACGAATAAGTTAATAGGCACCTAAAATAAAGGAAGTACTTCTATAAGACTGAGATTGTGAATGTTCACCAATGTCTGTGTTATTGTCACCTTTTTTTGGCACACTGCTAGACTATATTTTTCAGCTCTACTGACACACAGGTGTTGACATGTGATTACTTAGGGCCAAAGAAATACCAGTGGAAGTGAAGTACACCTCTTCCAGAGATGTCTCATAAAATATCTTCTGTGTTCCTCCACATTCTCTCTCTTCATTCACTACAGAATGCAGAGGATCCGGGGTGGGGGGACTCTAATTCCCACAAAGAAGGAAGAAGCCTGGCTCCCTAAATGACTGTGAAAAGCAGAGCCTTCCATGGACTCACATAGAGTATAATTTCAGCAGGAAATAAACGTTTATTGTGCTAAGCCACATAAATATCGACATTATTATATTATTTAGCTTATTCTGACTAATTTATATTATGATAGAACTTAGATAGCATGCGAACAAAACCCTTTTCTTCTACATGGGAAATTGATTGATTTTGAGTTAACATTCTAGCTCTGCTTCCTAGGACGTCTGATAAAAGTGGAATATTAGCATCATTAGTAGGCATCTTTACTTATCATTTAAACTTTACTCTTGACTAGAACATTGCATTTGTACTAGGAGGACTATAAACACAGTACGACTCTTGCTTGTGGTGACTTTTGTAACTGGGTATGTCCATTGCAATGCAGGAGTGTGTGTGTGCATCAGGAGGTATGTTTAGTGAGCCTAGAGAATTTGACCAGATTTTCATTTTAGAAAAATATAGTCAAGGAGAAGAGAGACTAGTTAGGAAGCTTTTGCAAAAATACAATAAGATATAGTGGTGACATCAATTTAAGTTAAAGATTATTGCTTTGGAAAAGAAATCTAAGCCTTGATGTGTAAAAATAAAGGAATATTCTCATTTTTTCAGGCACACAATGCTCACAGAATACTTCACTGAAAATAGATCATTTGGACATAAACAAATATTTGTACTTTCTTAAAACTTAAAAAAAAAAACCTCACTGCCATCAAGTTGATTCTGACGACTCATAGTGACCCCCATCAGGTTTCCAAGGTTGTAAATCTTTACAGAAGTAGATCACCCCATCTTCCTTCCTTGGATTGGCTGGTAGATTTGAACCACTGACCTTCTGCTTAGCATCCAAATACCTAATCCAGTATACCACCAGAGATCCTTTGTACATTCTTACTAGAATGAAACATACTTCCACTTACAAATGGATTTCTTTGTCAGAAGTGCACCTCAGATTGGCATTACTAATTTTTCTAACTACAAATATATCGGTCCCAGAGAACTTTGTTACTTTGGAAATGTAAAGAAGTTGCTTGATTTCTTATTTTAAATTTATGAGTGCATTAAAATTGCTCTTCATGAACTCCAAAGATTAATTGTACCTACATAGCCATCTCAGGATATTTGGCGTTCCTCTGTAGCTTTGCTTACAAAGTATTTTGTACACTAGATTTACCAGGGACATAAAGCTCCCTGCTGTTCTGAACCTCTGTAACATGATATGGAAACACTCCTTCCTGATGAAGTTTTATTAATATTTTAAACTATGTTCATTTGGGAGTAAGGTAAAACAGCATAAATGAAGTTCCTATAATTTTGATAAATAGTTTTCAATCCAGATTTGGGGCTTGATAAAATTCTAAAAAAAAGAGACACCAATTTCAGTATTAAATGGCGCTAACATTTTGGCTATAGATTTCAGCTTTTGGTTTACAAAAGAATTTTCATAATTACTTCATTAAAATGTTAATGTAAATTGGAGCTATACAATTCTTATTTCAGT